TTTCAAAGGTTTCAAAAGTCTAATATATCTCAAGGGGCATGTTCGAGCTCCAAGTCCACTGCCTTGTCTAATCAAAACAAAACAATAACCACTAAACAAACTAAGATATGAGATCGAGAAAAACTTCTCAAAAGAAACGAGGATCAGTTCCTCAACCGGCAATAATCTCAATCCCAGCGGTCACTACTGAACAATGAACGCTTAGCTCATTCGACTCTTCCGACAAACAGTGTCGGCCGTCACGTCAGCTCTCGATTCAAGCAGCTAACCGTGTCGGCAGTCTTAAATGAGCTTCTAAAGATACGATGAACGAACATCAAAAGTGAAGGTGACCCTGCACCCCACAATGTGTTTGTTCCGGACTCGACTATCCTCCTTAAAAGATTTATGCAACCCTTTTAAGGTGGAAGGAAACACTCTCTGATACACGTCAAATCACTCCATCTGAAGTTCCACGCCAGAAAGGAGAAGTTCAAGCGAAATTCTCAAAATGCAAAAATTGGATAACGAAAGAAGCTTCAAGCACAATTCAAAATTGCTTGCCACACAAAAAGCAAGGGTTTTCAGAAGTCTACAAGAAGACCAGAATTCAAAAATAAAACAAGACTGCCTCGCATCTACAAGTCCACGCTTTACGGCCTCCATCATTGGTTCAAGCTGCTCCCGGATATCCACGACGAATTCAAGAAAGATAATCAACGTATTGAACGAGTATACGAACAATTATATACCCGACCAACCAACGGATTTTCAAATTCAATAAATAAAACAAACGATTTAAACCAGGGAAAAATTTTACCATTATATCGAAATTCCCAACCAGTATTTCTAGAGAAAGAACTTAACTCCATACCACAAGAGTTCAAGTTCAAACAACTAAGTTCACCACTCGTTCAGAGTTCAAAAATGCTTAAAAGCAGGAGGATAAATTCCTAAGCCCCGATTTCACTTCAATAATCAATATTCAAGCAATGCACAATANNNNTGCGACACCTGCCTATCGCTAGACAACGGCCTATCACCTAACCACCACTCATCCCAAAAACTAACCTCACCCTCACCCAAAACCCAAAAGATGTGCTCCTGGGAGCGCCAACCGACCCTAGTGAGGCGCCGTGTAACGCCCCACTTTTATTTGCCGAAAATCAGAATAAATTTTTCAAAATTTATTTCAAAACACTTGAGGCGCTACTCATTTCCAAAACAAATTTTAATAATATCATAAATACAACACCCAAACGGGTTCACTAATCATGTCAACACCCAAACCGGGTTCTTTAATAACATCAATTCCCAAACTGGGTTTCTCAATTTCATAAATACTAGGGAGCACACTCCCTATCAATTATCCGATACTCAACGTAAATCAGAAATGCATAAACGATAATAAGAAGTTCATATAGCGGAAGCAAAATCATCAATATGACCACCACTCGCATCCCTCTGTC